TCCTTCCAGTATCAGAGGGGTAGCCGTGTTAGTCTGAATCTGTAAAAAGCAACAGAGGGTCCTGTGGCACCTTTAAGACTAACAGAAGTATTGGGAGCATAAGCTTTCGTGGGTAAGAACCTCACTTCTTCAGATGCAAGTAAGAAGAGAAGGTTCTTACCCACGAAAGCTTATGCTCCCAATACTTCTGTTAGTCTTAAAGGTGCCACAGGACCCTCTGTTGCTTCATACATAACACAGTAAAGCTACCGACAATTTACTGTATTCAGTGCAACCCACATATAACAGTCAGTTTCCACACAAGATTCATAGATTTTTAAGGTCAGACGGGACCATTAGGACCATCTAGTCTGACCTCCTCCATAAAACAAACCGTAAAACCTTACCAGTAATTTCTGCATGAAACCCATAACTTTTAATGTAGCTAAAGCATATCTTTTAGAACAACACCCAATGTTGATTTAAAGACTTCAAATGATGGCAAATCCACCACAAGCTTAGGTACGTTGTTCAAATGGATAATTACCCTCGCTGTGAAACATAAACCTTTGGTATCAGAGGCCTGGTATGAGGCCTGAGGCCTGAACCAAAGGCATGGTTAAGACTTTGCTAACATAAAGCAAAGTTAAGCTGTGAACTAGAGGCAGGCCCTGCTCACAAAAGTTGGCAAGAGGAAGGCTGCTAATTGGATGTATACACATATCTAAAGGGTATCAAGCACTAATAGGATAAACATGGACCAGGATGGCACCAGAACAGTCCGGTACAAACACATTCCACAGAAATAATGACCCATCCTAAAAGACAGGGTCAAAAGGATAATATGATGGATAGACTTGTTTGTTCAAACCAACATACCAGGAGAAAGGCAGCACCCCAATATGCAGAGGGGTTTTACCTCAATACATCAGGAGTGATGTGTAACTTGTTTGTACCTGTGTATAAGAATGCATCCCTGGGTCAGTGTCTTTGTCCAGCCTAGGGGGCAATGGAGTGTCCCACCACTGACTGAGCTCTGTCCATTGTCAGGGAGCACGTATTCGTAGTATGGCCTTAGAGTCTGCTGGAAACTATTACTGTGCTTCGTTTGACAATAAACATGGCCGGGTGTCCTCGTACCTTATCGGAGTCTGTGGTCTCTTGGGGTCTGCGGTGCCAGCGATCTGCAGAGCCGGGGCAGCACACAGAGGGAACACACGCACACAGCCGACTGTTATCAACATTGAACAAGAGCAGAGCACCATACCGGTGACATCTGACGACAGGACATATATCATTTAATCATTTCCCTGTAATTGCAGGGGCTGGAGGCTTTTCTGAGCCTCACTTACCACAGGACTTAGAAGAGACCTGACTTTTAATAGCAATTATATCTTTTTCTTAGAATTTTAAAATTCACGTATACAGTTTAAGAGAGGATTATACTGCAGCTATAGAATTCTACAGGGTGGTTTCAAAATTGTTCTCCTTTTTTTCCCCTTGCATGTTTGAAAAAGTCCATGTAGTTCTCTGTATGTTGCTTCTTATTTCTCGGATTGTTTACTTTGGGGAGAGCAGCATGAAACCTCCTCATCCCAGGGGTTTGGTAATACTAATGGTGCCACCAACAGGAAATAGCTAAGTGTATTTTTCAAATTAGTGTTGTGCTAGTCGAAATATGTTATTTTTAATTGAGACTTCTCTTTTACTCTTCTCATGGCCACAAAGCAGGAAGCACGCTAAGTGCACTGTGAAATATTTGGGCTGGGCAGATTGTACTGAATGTGGAGAGAGAAAAGAGTATCTGTGAGAACATCTGTAAGGCTGAGATCAGAATATGACAGTGCATGTTTCAACAGGCTAGCTGAGTTTATTACACCCTTAGAGATGAACCGTGCAGCAACTACAAAGAAGACACACAGCAGCACTAAGAGCTCTAATAGCTCCTAGCTGGTTCTATCAAGAGTGTGTTTAACAGATCAGAATGAAATCTGTGAAAATCTGTGGATCCCCTGAGGCTGTCATTCTGAACGTCTGACAAAAATGTTGACAACTCCTACCAGACTAAAGACAATTCACGGATCGCACACTATGCCCTTCTAAAAGATTTGGATGTTGAGTACCGTATATTGTCTCAATTCAACACATTTTGTTCAAGGTTTTACAAGCGCTTAACTAATATCTAAGGGCTTGATCTTGATGCTGCCCATTGGCCCGCGTGCCGAAGGTTGCCAACCCCTGCACTTGCCAACCTGCAAGTGACCCGTGCCCCATGCTGCAGAGGAAGGTGAAAACTGACCTGGGGGAAAACTCCTTCTCACCACAAATATGGTGATGCTGATAAACTCCTCTAGGCAGGGACTGTCTTTACATTTGTGTCTTGGTCACGCAAATTGTCATTACTTAATATGTTATTAAATCATATCAGGCTTGAGCATGCAAAGTACTGAGCCAGAGTGCTCGGCCCCTTGAATTTAAATTGGAGTGTATACATTTCTCAGCAAGGTGATTGCTACTAACTTGGTTATTGTATCTTTCTTTCCAGGTACTTACATTGCCATCCTCGCTGTAGGAAAATGGCTCTTTCCACCACCACCCACAACTCTCCATAAATTTAAAAACAAATTGAAGAAAGAAGAGCAATACTGTGCCTGGGCCCCTAACTCTGCTAATAGGATGTAAAGGCAAAGTATCATTGTCTTAAATCTGTCAGAGAAAAAATAAACTGTCCCATAGAAGTAGGAAGGAGAAATAGAATCACTGTCAGGAAGCTGAAAGGGGATTTGGAGAGTCAGGTTTCTCATGCATTAACTGTATGGTCAGAGTGACTATGGCTAAAGTTTTATTTACTCTTAGGTATTTGATTTCAGTGGAAGTTGGAAGCTTAAATACCACTGAAGATGTAAGCCTCTGACTCTGGGATTGCTGGACACATGTGAGGAGTCCTTCTGAAGTCTTATGAACACACAATGACAAGACATTCAGTGGCAGTTTGAAATCAGCTGTTCACATAAGTAAGGATCATTACTTGTGGATGTAACGGCTGCAGGATTAGGTGACATATTGTACTGCTTCAGCCTGATCCTGTAATATATATCTGGGGAATAGGGGAGATTCCACATAGAGACAGCTATGTTCTTAAAGCAGTCCAGCATTTCCTCTGCACAGCGAGTACATTTGTTCTGACCACACTGAGTGAAGTTGGAAGTTTTCTGTTGATAGCCCAAAAGTTGTAAAAATTTGCAATGTGCTTAGAGTTCAGATAAAGGAAACGTGTACATTGAAATAAATCAGTCAGTTCAGTGAAAGGCTGATAACAGTCCTAGCAGCTGTATCAAGGTGGAGGTGGCTGGTTATTGTCTGCATTTCTCTGACTAAGCTGAAAATTTCATTGCCAGTGCTGAACAGATTTAGTTATCTTTTCCAGTATGGCTTTATGTGCTCCCTGGACCCAGGACTAACATCCATTTGTTATGGGAATTTTCGATTAGCTCTCCAGTACAGTCCTGTTGACCAGACATAAACTTCTCTATTCAAGCTGATAG